TTCTCACTTGATCACTTTCCAATTTGCCACCTTTGCAGCATGCACTTGCTTCAGCTCGCCCTGCTTCTTATTCTTACTCTCGTGACGGCCGCGACGGTCGACGCCCAGGCAACGAAGACCAGCCTCCGAGCGCTGGCCGACGGCGCCGACACTGCCTCCGACAGCATGGGGCCCGGCGCCGCGCTTGCGATTGCCGGGTGTGTGGCCGCTGTCGTGGGCATCGCACTGATCGCCAAGGCCATGCGTCAGCGACTCACCGCCCCAAGCTCGCCGCAGACGCCGCCGCCACTCGCCATGCACAGCGACGAGTGCCTCCGAGTGAGTGCCACGACGCCCATCCAATAGCGATCTTTTAGATTTGCATTTAATTAATTTTACCGGATTTTTCATCGCATGAGTGATGGTCTTCTTGTGGTGCTGCCGGGCGAATGCAATGCACTTTCCAAGTGTCATGACAGCCGCGACCTCGGGCGTGCTGCGGTCAGCCGACCTCTTTGCGCTTCTCGCTTCGTACCAAGATGGCGTCATTGAAGACGTGCTGCGCTTCCGCGTCTTCACCGAGGCCGACTGCGACCGCCTCATCAGCGGCGACATAGCCACCATGCTCCTCCCGCAACTGCATGCGGTCGACGCCGCGCTGGCACCTTGGTATGCAGCCGTCGGCACCTCTCGCCTTCTATCCGTTCTTCGTGACGCGCCGCCCATGCGCTATATGGTGTTGTACCACGCAGCGTACGCCGACCGCGTCGACATTGCTGGCTTTGTCCACGCCCACTATCGCCTCGAATCGTCGTGCGACCACCTCCTCGACCTCGCCGCGCTGCGCGGCAGCCTCGCGACGCTTACATTCTTCCTCGCCAACGGGTACAGTGGCCTTACAGGGCACGCTCTTGACCTTGCGGCGCGACAGGGTCACTTGCACGTCGTGGAGCACATTACTGACCACACGGACGTGGTCGGCTCGACGCGCGCGATGGACGGTGCTGCATCCGAAGGGCACTTGACCGTCGTCCAATACCTCCACGCACGACGCCGCGAAGGGGCAACGGTCGCAGCCCTCGATGGCGCCGCCGCCAACGGGCATTTGGCGATCGTGACCTTTCTGCACGAGAAGCGAACGTACGGAGCAACCCGCGGCGCCATCGACCGCGCGGCGCTCAATGGTCACTTGGACGTGGTTCGGTTCCTGGTGACACATCGCAGCGAAGGCTACAGCGCGCGCACGTGCGAGGCTGCACTAGCCCATGGCCACAAGGACGTCTATGAGTATCTTTTGACGCGTGCCTCGTAAAACCAGTTAGTCGTAGCGATCAAGCACGTAGGTCGTTCAATGTATTACCGCACAGCACTAGTGCAAAGCGAATGAATGAAGCGCATCGTCACGTACATTAGATCCAGGATTTAGCCGCGTTGCAGCACTGTTAGCGTCCGGCGTCCCATCATCGCACCGGCAACGCAAGAGGTTCAGAGTCATGCACTGCGTCAGCGTCAACCTTGTTTGGCACGGCCGATGTGAGCGTTTTCGCATTTGTCACGCGCACTGGTCTTGTCGACTGGTGCACAAGATGACCGAGAGACGAGCCTTTCGATGCTGCAACGCTCGAGGTTGAGTTTGCACTCGCAGAGCACAGATTCTACTTGCACCACCTTGCACTTCAGCGATGCGCATCGTCGAAGATGTCTGCGATGCTAGTGACGGACTCTAGCGTCGACGCATGGACTGTCGTTGCGTCATAAGCCATCCTCACGATCCTCTCATCCTCAAACGCACTCTCTCGCTCGTGTAGCTGAGCTGACGTGGCGTCGCCGCGTCGTACATCTTCCATTCTCACGCTCTCTGACTATCAAACCCAATTGGATCGATGATTTCCAGCGCCAAAAATCTTGTTAACAGCAACGGGGCATCAAGGGTCATGGGCCTGTCTGGTACATCCGTTCTTTATGCCGTGGACACGTTGTCCCGCACTTCCACCCTCTACAACTGATGGGCTTCGTCGTCAAAGCGTCAACTACTCCAGATGCTCCTGAACCATGCCAGGTCCATGGTTTGTGTGGAGCGGCAATGACCCAGAGACCATCGCTCTCTGCGATGCCAGCTCAGCTGCTCTGGTACAAAAGCTCACTTCCTTGGAGCTCAATGCAAGGCTGCCAGTGCCCTTGCGACCACCCGCGCTTCGAACACAACATCACTCGGCGGTCGATTGTCCGGATAAGGATCGGGCGCGAGTGATGGTCTATCCGGATAGGCGATTTGCAAGGTCGCGGGCACTTTGCCTTTTTCGATGTTTGCGCCGACGCACACGAGCCTCTCGCCCGCGCTCCTCCGCGTCGTCGAAGCCCTCCTCATGGACGCGCCTTCCGAGCATGCGATCCACTACACGCGCGGGTACGGCCATCATGCGCCGCCAGCATCTACCTAAGCGCATCACGTAGGCTCGAGCAGATCCGCGCCTACATGCGCAGCCGCCATGCGGGGCCCGACGGCGCGCCATTGCCGTTCCGCGACATGGTGCTCAAGTGGAGCGCCGAGTGGGCCGAGCACGTCGAGAAGGCGATCGCGTCGCCGATTGCGATGGCCACGGAGCGCCCGATGCTGCCTTTCTTGGAAGGCCTTGTGGGCATTGACATTCGTGTCGCCGCGCGCGGCCGGCCCGACGACGCCATCTACAACGGCGACGAGTACGCGCGCAAGTACTACCCGCGCGGCAACTACGTGGCCAAGTGGGCGCTGGACGCAGCGACGATCGCGTACTTTCCTCTCGTGCGGGCGTACCCCAAGTTTACGGGCCACGAAGACGACGGGGAGCTCAGCGTAGGCGATACCACGCAAGCCGCCACCAATGCCGCTTCGATTGCCTCGGAAGCGCTCTCAAAGTACTTTACAAAACCCGCGACCGAGACCAAGTCGGTCATCTCGACCGTGAAGGAGAACGGCGAGGCCGCCCACCTCGCCGTCCTCAAGAAGACCGACGGCTCGTTTGTCTACCTTGTCGGCTCCAAGAACGTGCACATGGCGATTTCAACCACATCCGACATTGAAAAGGCGATTGCGATCGGCTCGACCAACGGCCAAAATCCATTTGCGGGCGCCCGCCCCGTCGCATACGGTCTGTTGCGCATGCTCGAGGGCCTCTCGCCCGCGAAGCGATCGATCTTTTGCGAGTTTTTATGGCAGACACGGCTCACGGCGTCGTTTGAGCTGCTGTGCCCCAACCACCAGCACGTCGAGCTTCTTTCCGTGCCCGACGACACGCCCGTGCTCTTTGGCTTTTCATTCCCGACGCTCGGGTCGCTGGACGGCGTCGAGATTTGCATGAACCCGCTGCTTGGGTACGCGCTGGGGCGCTACTGCGGCGTCCGCACCGTGCAGTTCGACGTGGTGCCGTACACGGGCGCTGAGTTCAAGGCCGTGCTGAGCGCCATCAAGACCGGCTACCAGACCGAAGGCAAGGTCAACTTGTATGTGGATGGCTCGGGCGCGGTCATTGGCCTCCAAAAGTACAAGACGGCGTGGTACGTGAGTTTGCGCGCGATCCGCGAGAAGGCCAAGTCGTTCCTGGTCGCGGTGCTCAGCAAAAAGAAGAAAGTGACGCCGGACGAAGCGCTCGCGCTGACGCATAAGCAGCTCGAGAAGCGGTTCGTCGCGATTACGAATTGGCTCCAGCTCGCAGACGCGGACGCGCAGGCCTACTGCGACCTCGGCAAAGCGTTTGTGACGTACGTCGCATCGGTGCGGCTCGCGAGCTGCGATGGCAACGCGAGCGCGCAAAAGACCGTGCAGCACGACGTCACGAATTTGTTTCCCGTCGTCTGGAAAGAGTTTCTCGAGGCCACGGACCGATCCGACCGCATCGACTGCGCGTAAAGTCGATAGTTTCTAAACCAACGAATCTGTGTACACTACGAGAACCAACCACCTTGTGCTTGACATCATCGATCGCATGGCGCGAGCGTTCGAGTCGTGGACCGTGGTCGTGTGACAGCTACCCCATCAGGGTCTTCATGAAGCGGGAACTAGGATGACCGAGATTCCTCCGTTGAGTCGAGATTCGATAGTGAAAACAAGGGCATGACTAGCTCTGGGGATTCGACCGCGACGAGAAAGGCTACGCAGAGACGTCTTTGGCAACGAAAGATGTGTTTCACAAGAGAAAAAAGTGTTGGGCAAATGTGCATGTATAAACGAGTGATATCAAAAAACACAGTGGCTGCTTAAACGTGCTGGCCGCCGTTCGCGGGCGAGTGCACGAGGTGGTAGCTGTTGGCGTTCGACTTGGAGCGTGACCGCGAGTGACGGCCGCGGCCAAAGCTACCGGGCGT